CCGCACATTGTCACGTAAACATCGCGGCGTTGTTGTGGCTTGGTTGGAATTTGTATGCAAACCGCGCACTAAATTAGATTCTTTTTTACTGCATTGGCATCGCCTGTTGTTGATGACAAGGAGCCAACCAGGATGCGGATATACTTAGATTGACTCGCTGTCGTTGTCCTTGCAGCGACAGCAGCGCGGACGATAAAATGCGTAAGCTCGTTAAAATTGCAGGCGTCGCTCCTTTTATAATACGAATAATGATCGAGTGATGGGCGAGGGAGGTCGCCGCCTTAGCGGCTGCTATTGATTTGACTTTTGCGTGCTGCGCCTTGCGTAATGCATAGCGAAATGTTTGATATCGCCTCAGTCGGGCAAGGGTATCAATAACTCCCCCACCACCACCACCCCCACTCCTTCTTCGAGTTGGGCTCGCGCATAAATTGTTGATGAGCGTGTGAAATGCCTGTTAAATGAGGTCTTAACGGCAAATTTGTGGCCTGTAAAACTTGTCTGGCACAACAGATGCGTGTGACATGTAAATTTTTATGCTCTTACGAGTATCGTAAAAAGGAAAACTAATGTCGAGGTGCTCTATCTCGAGAGTCCAAATAGTGTATACACCGAATCAGGGCTTTAATCTAGAATAGTGTTAGGAAATAAAAGTAATTCATATTTCTTTAAATCCTCATTTTCTGTATATATGTACGTATGTGTGTATGCCTAAAAGCATTATGCATGTATGCTTGTGCATGTGTGTATGTATGTATGCATGTAACTTATACCAAACGCAGAGCAACTTTACTTTTCGTCGCGCTGCAAGTTTAATAGCTCTCATTTTTAAATAGTGCCCTACTATGCGATTCTCATAGATTCAAGTAGGCCTAGCTTCTTGCTTTTATAGCAAGTGCAGTTTATTTTCACATTTGTTGTTTGGTGTTAGAATTATTTAATTTTGTGTGTGCATAAACCAACCTCTCAATATCTTTTCTTTTTACAGAAATGTGCATTTATAAAAGTCTACAAACAGATGGCAATAAAATACTCGAGCATGTGAGTGTCAAGTTTCAGGTAAGTACTAATTTCAAATATACATCTGTTTGTGCTTATAAATACTATACTTAAGCAGTTCAGACCTTCTTGAGGGTTACCTCCTAATACGTTCTAGTTTGGGTTTCAAAGATAAAATTAATTATTAAATGTTTGCCAAGGTAAAAAAGCCGGCAAGAACGGCTATTGGTATAAAGGAACAATGCATTTAACTTTGTAGGAAAGTGTGTTAAGCGTTTCGGAGAATATAATCAAAGACAAGAAAACCTTTTGCTCCACTAGCAGTGACTCATTCCACATTGTTTATCCACATCTTTACGAGGGCTGGGCTCTGTTGGCCCAAAGAACATAAATTAAATACACTCACATACAGACTCAGATACTCGTACTTATTATGCATTACCTAATGAAAAGTGGGCTGGCTGGGAGCTGGGCAGCAGCAGGAGCTGTTGGAACTCTCAGTGGGGCTGACAGGAGGCGAGGCGTAAGCAAATAATAAATAAATAAATAAACGAAAAGCGCAAATAACATTTGAGCGCCAGATTTAATTTCTAACGTTGAGTGCGCATATTAAAACGGGCAGCAGGACGAGGCGTTGCTGCAAGGACGAAAGCCAAAGGCAATGTGGCTCCGGGCAACAAACAAACAAAGATGATGCGGATATCACTGCGTCTGCTGTTGTTGGAAGTGCAACGGAAATGCGGGTTACGGGAGGATGTGGGTTGGAGGCCGTGTGCTGGCTGGTGGAGGCAACGGCGACGGCGGCTTGTGGGGAATCCCAAAGAGAAACAATAAAAGCGCGCGCGCGAGAGCCGGGCAAATGTTGGAGAAATTAAACACGCCAAGTGTTGGGCGTGGCGGAAGGCGTAATAGAAGTTAGCGCGGATAAACAATGAATTACGGAATCATGAAAGCAAATTGACTTTAATGCAAAAATCAAATATTTACACAGCGCGAGAAAAACTGAAGGCAATGCAATTGCAATCCCATAGCTGAGGGGAATGCGTGCAGAGACAGCAGCCAGGCAGTCAGACAGCCAGACAGCCAGATAAACAGACATACAGATGAAAGACAAACAAACACAAACAAAGCCTGCACACACACACATATATACACACAAATTGAGGTTATGTTAGACGTTGCTTTGGCCCCAAAAACTCGTTTCGGCACTTAAATGCCAATGCACACACACACACATACATATACACACTCCCACACACACACACATCATGGCTGAGCTTAGATATGACGAAGGCAGGTTTGAGTGGTGGTTGATGAGGGTAAGCAGGGGAAGGGGAGGGGGGGCAGCTTTTGTGCGCCGTTGGTCTGCGGCGTATCCGGTTTTTGAGTGTACGTTATTCGCCCGCTGCTGTGGCTGTCCGGCGTGTCTGGATTTTACGATTTCATTCATTTTTGTGGCTGCCATTTGACGCCACAAAATATTCAACAAAATTTTATTTCCAGAGCTCCGCACAGCTGCACTGGATAAATAAAAATAAAAACTATTATCTAATGTTCTGTAAAGCGAATGGCAAACATTTCAAATGCAGCCTTATGACTCTTGGCAATTTGTCTAAGAATTTTTCCAATTAGAAAACAAGCAAAGCTAACAACAAAAAGAAGGGCAAATACAAAAAAAAAACAAGGGAGATGATAGCTGTGGATGCATTGCACAAATCTGCAAAACCATAAAAGTGTCGCTTTCAATTGTGTGGCCAAAACCCAAAAGCGACAAACGACAATCGAAGCCAACAAGTGAAATTGAAACATTGCACGGCTACAAATTGATGATGAAGTGTGCTCGGGTGTCCTCTGGGATTTTTTTCGACCTTTTTTTATAGCCGCACGCAGTGGACATGGCGACTATGTTGATTGCTTTGTGTTGTGCTCAAACTGTTTTGATATTCCTGAATAACAAGGATTTTTATGTTCATTGCAAAGTTCACGGCTACTCTCAATAAAATATTATTAATGTACATTTTTGATTTAGTCTTGAATATATAAGTGTGTACAGCACGATTTTTAATGTTCATTGCAAAGTTCATGGTAAATATTGTTTTGGAATTTTCCATTTCCCATGAATATAGCCCGTACTCCCATAAACTATCATAAACTATTGTTCAAAAAGAGATAGCTAATTTTTACAAGCTCATTGCAAAGTTCATGACAGCTCCGATTAAAGTCTTATATAATTTAATATACATCACGTTTTCTCAGGCTCTTTAAAAAGTTCATGGCAAATATTGTTTCAAATTCTTAGAACTGGCTCGATTCCCCACGTTCATTGCAAATTTCATTGTAACTCACGTTTTCAGTCCTGAAGAGATGTTCAGCTTTGTTTGTCATGTTCATGGCAAAGTGACTCCCACTTGTTGGATAGAGCATTCGTGTTTCGACTTGCAGCATTCCAATTCGTCAACGTTACATATTACTTTTTATTGCTCTGCGAGGCGATGATTGACACCTCGTCTGGCAATAAATTTTTAATTTTCAAAGCGCCGTGATAGACTACTGGCTGACTCTCTTATGGCCTGCCTGCCTGCCATCCAGCCTGCCCGCCCGCTTGACTGACGGACTGGGGACACGCTCTCGATGCGGAGCTTGTTAAATTCAAATTAGAGCCTTGCTCTTTCATAGAGTTGCCGCTGACAGCGAAGATAAATGACAGTGCGCTGTGCGATCGCAACAAATTAACCTTGTTAGGGGCTGCAGCCAGCAACAGTTACAAGTGTATGTAATTTTTTATCGTCTCCCCAGCAGACACGCCGCCCCCAAGCCCCCAGCCCCGAGTCACCCCGCCGCCTCAAGAAGCTGCAGCAACTTAGCCCACTGACTGACTGACTTATGAATGGCGTGTGGCAGTTGCGAGTGGGCGGGGCTCCGGCTCCGGCTCTGCTCAGCATCGATAAATCAGTTTGTATATCAAATTGAATTCACGAGCGTGCACTTGACACCAGCACACGCACATTTATCAGCCGCCGCCGCCGCCGTCGCCTCGCCTTCGCCAAATGCAGTCGCAGTCGCAGTCTGCAGCAGAAACAAAGAAGGACGCGGCAAATCTTTGGCATTTGCTGGCGCTTTAACTTGGGCATGAAAAGAAGCCACAAAATTTTAATTTCAGCTAAAAGCGAGGGCAAAAATATCAGCGCTTTGCATTATAAATTATTCATTACATTGGGCGCGACCACGCCCACGCCCACAAACAGCAGCAGCAGGAGCAGCAGGAGCAGCCGCTGACGGCTGCTCGTTTGCACCTAATTTGATTTTTAGTTGTGTTGAATGGCTGCTGGCTTCCCGGACACGGACCCGGACCCGGACCCGTCTCTGGTTACGGCCATCGCCCAACGCTCCAGCTCTGGCTGCGTTGCGGTTTGCCCCGTGGCAATCTTTTTGTTGTTGCCACACAGCGAAGGCAACAACAACATGTGAGCGCTCACGAGGATTGGCCACGCCTTGGCAGCGTTTCATTCCTTGCTTCTGGCTCCTTGCCCGTTGCCATCTTTGGGCTTCATTCATTTCGACTCCGTCGAAAAAATGTCTGTTATGTGGCTGGCAGAATTTTGCAGTAATTAATGGCAACTGTTTGATTAAAAAATTCCATGGTCCGGATACATTCATATATGAACCGAACTGAGCTGAACTAAGCTCAACCGGGCAGAAGCCAAGTGTAGACCACATCAAATCTATGCAAATACCAGAAATCGCTTGTGCTTGGCAATTATTTCATAGAGAGGCGACATTTCTTTCGGTTTATGTGCAACGTGTCGCTTTTATTTTGTTTCTGGCTAAGTAACATATATCCCATATCTACATTTGCATTTTCAAAAAAATTGTGAATAATATTGATATACCCTCTGAGAAAGGGAATAGGGCAAATCGGATGGAAACTAAAAAAATTTCTATAGATCGGAAATTTTTGTTTCCTTCAGATACTCTTGATTCAGGCTCTAGATTGTGAGAAATATTCTGAAAGATGTAAATTTGCCTGGAGCTATATTTCAAAAGAAAACAAATTATTTACCCATAATGTCAAGTAGAGCCGTACCTTCGAGGCGGACAGCGTCTTCGGACTACGATGGACTAGATAAAAGGAATTGGAAATTGATTGCTTTTCGCTGGATTATCTTAATATTCGCTATTATCTGTATCGTTAGTTGCGTAATATTTGTTTTTATTGCATTTACATAGTTATTTTCCATGCCTAGTATTGCAACATTAGCGATATGATTTACGACAGCGGGATAATCAGTCAATACGCAGATATCCCGGAATGTGGTTTTGTAAAATTTGAAATAATGGTGGTCGTGGTAAGTGTCTTAATGCTAATCACGATGGCTGTAGGATGGGGCTTGGTGCTCAAGCAGCAGCTAGTGACATTGCGCTCTGTGAGTGGACACGCTTGCAATCCTTTTGGTGCATAACAACATGATGATATTTATCCTTTGCAGTACCTTACGTTTCTGTTCATATTTAGCTGGCTGCACCTGATGATAATTCTCGTGCTGACACAGCGTTATCCCCTTGTCCATGAGATCCACAGAAAATGGAAAAATGGAGAAAGCATCAACACGTACGAGATCATGGTGAGTGGATTCACGTGAAACTATTCAGCTTTTCGCCAACCTGCGGCTCTCCAGTACAATTGCTGTGGTGTGTTTGGCCCGGATGATTATCTGCTGATATATGGCAAATTGCCAAGCAGCTGCTTCGGCAATGGCACCATGGAGTCCAAGGATCTTTATTACAATGGCTGCCTGAATAAAAATGATATAGAGTCCACCATCGTACGCGTGGAGCTGCTCACGTCATTATTACAGGCAAGTGGATAGATGGCGATCGCAGTCAATACGATTAACCCTGAAGGTGTATCAATTGCAGTTAATTTACTGCATTTTGTTGTTGTGTTTTTATTTGTTTCTGAATCAAATCAAAGCGCCGCAGCGTAGCCTTCGCGACTTGTGGAAAGACCGCATCATACTCTAGGTTTTCCTTACTTCGTTTTTTTTCGTGTCTCAAGCAACAAATTGAATTTGCATTTGCAAGACAAATTGGATGGCATTGAAATTGGCAATGGGTTGGGCATTGGCAGCAGGGCTTACACTTCTCATATTTCACCAACAGCTGCAATCAATAACGATAAACACTCGAGTGTCTGGCCAAAGCGAAATCCTGCTCGGAGCCCTTGTCCGAGCGTACGCTCTGCATATGCATGAGCCAATAAAGAAATCAACAAAGGCGAATCCCAACACACAACTGGACACTCGAAACAATATGCCAAAGGAGAGAATGCAGCCAAGCGACTAAGCACATGTTCAAGGACAATTTCTGGATGTTTGTTTTTTTATTTTTATATGTATGTAAGTGCATATAAATTTGATTGTTGTCAACATTAAATCGAAAACAATTTTCAAGCATTGCGAAATGCATAAAATATGCATACAAAATGCCCAACAGAACGACCAACTTTATGGCTAAATAGTTTGCTGCGGCCCAAGCAGTTAATACTTTTTTTATGCCCTCCTCACACAGCCCTTATCTGAGCCAGTGCCGACGATTTGGCAAAAGTTTTCCGCCCCATAACCATAACAATAACAACAACACTTTGGTCAAGCTGCTGATGGGTCCCAGCGCAGAGTTTATGGCGGCAAAGGCAACGGGCTAACTGAAAACCAAAAGGGGTCATGTGGCTCATTAAACTTTGGCCAACAATTTTTTTTGGCGCCCCACCACCTACAAAGACAAACAAAAAGTTTAGCACTAAATATTTTGCGACCCTACGAAAAAATGTATGTATATATTTGCACTATATACATAAAGTAAGTAGCGATTCATGCGGATGAGCTCGGGCGTGAGGCATAAAATTATGGCACACATACGGCCCATTAAATGTTAGACAAATGTGAAGGACAATGTCTAGGGGAAAGAGGGGTAGGGCAGGTGGCGGCACTAAGAGAAAAACAAACAATCTGAGGCAAGACAGGGTCATGCTGCAATGCAATGCTTAATTTAATAGAGCAGGAATGTAATTATCAACAATCCATTTGTTATCGAAAAACAGTTGATTATAAATCAATCTGGCAACTCTAACTGATATAAAACATTCTAGTGCTGCATTTAAATGAAATGTAGTTGACGCAAATCAAATTGGTATCAAAAATAAATAGCTGTTTATAAATCAGTCTGGCCACACTATAGATGTTGGCAACCTAACGACGCAGCATTGCCAGCAATTTATGCTGGTTGAAATGAGCGTTGCCAAGAGCTTTACCATGCACATGAGAAAAAGGGTGTAAGTCCTCGAATTTGCAACTAGCTTATTATAGTTTGAACAATTAACTGCGGCCAGACAGACAGCAACTTCTACCATTTGCCATGAAGTTTGTCATGAGCTTTGCAATGAACTTGTAAAATTTTTTACAATTATATCGACTAACTACGGCCACATCGCCTTAAGCTTAACTCCGCAGGATTGAGGTCAATACCTTCTATTTGCCATAAGCTTTGCCATGAGTTTTAGAATGAACCTTACCACCTTCATAAGACGACTTAATAAAAACAAATATTTTTGTTAATAGTTTTATTTCGTGTGATTAATCAACAACAATTTCAACAAGTGCTAAGTGCTAGACTCTAGCTTAATAGCCCCAGTGTGAGCCAAAGCCATCGAAGCTGACATGGGCCACACCAATTGCGGGCGAGTACTTCACATAGGCAGTGGGAGCAGCAACTGGTGTGGAATATGCGACAGCTGGAGCGGCATAGGTCTTGGCATAGGTCACAGCCGGAGCAGCATAGGTCACAGCCGGAGCAGCATACGAGACGGTCTTGGCCAGCACGGGAGCTGAAGCACCATATGAGACAGTCTTGGCCAGCACGGGAGCTGGAGCAGCATAGGTGACAGCTGGAGCAGCAGCAGCATAGACGGACTTGGTGACCACAGCAGCGGGTGAGCTATAGACAGTCTTGGGCGTGTACACATTATTGGTGGTGCGTGAGTCCACCTTGCTGACGCTGGAGTAGGGCGTGACCACGTTCTTCGAGTAGGTGGATACGGTGCCGCCGAACGAGCGCACCACATTCTGCTGCGTGGTGCCCACCGCATCGTAATGGGGCTGAGCCACATAGGTGGCAGGCGCCAGGTAGCCAGCACTGGCCGCGCCGAGCAGAGCGCAGAAGGACAATAGGACGTACTTGAATGCCATGTTAGTTAGCTGCAACTGGAAATGTTACTGATGCTTAACTGGGCCAGCTGCGCAGCTTAAATAGGCGAAATCAAAATGTTTGTCCAAATTTCACGGTCACAATGGCCTCAAATTTGTGACAGACCGACTTAGGCCTAAGCCCCCACCCAGCAACAAGCAAACCGAACAGAAACTGGTTCAATGGGTCGGCAAATGACGGGGCGGCGCATGCCAAAAGTAACTCAATGTAGGAGTTCGAGTTGCGAGTTGCGAGTTTCGAGCAGCTGCCCGCCCCGGCGTACGAAAAAGTGAATTATTTTGAATACTATCAGCAGGTCATAAATTTTCCAGAAAACAACAGTGGGCAAAAACTTTTATTGCGTTCGCGTATTTTTCCATTAAATTGAGTTCAAGTCAAGCAGCAAATATGACCCCGCGCCTCGCAAAATTCAAGGACTCTTCCAGCTTGTGTCAACTTTTTCCTTGCTCTTCTTTTTTTCGAGGGTGTGTTTTTTTACTTTTTGTTGTTGTTTATGATTTTTGTACTTTTGTGCAAGTTTTACAAAATGAATATCCCTGCTGCTGCTTTTGCTGCTTTTGCTGTGGCTCACGGGGCGCATGATGAATATTTATTGAAATTACCAAAGTTGCCGCTTGCCTCAAATTGAATTGTGTTGCCAACTTGGGATGCCTGCACACCCACTTACCCCCCTCCCCCTGGCTGTCTTAGTTTTGTTTTTTTTGGCAAATTGTTATTAATTTTACACGTGTGCCATTGAGTCGCTCTCTAAACCGAATTACGACGTTTAATTTATGGCCCCAAATTGGCTTTCAAATAATTTGCCACACACTCGACAGACAGACAATCGGCCAACGAAATTCGCATCTCTCATTGTGGGCAGGTTCCCAATTAACCAAAATGCCGTTTGGCACGCGTCAGTTGCGTATAAAAGCCGCAACATTTTGGCCAAATCAACAACAGTCGCAGCTCAGTCAGCCAGCCGATAACAGTTTCAGTTTCCACACCCAGTTTCTATCTATCAGCATGGCCTTCCGTTACGTCATCTTCTCCCTGTGCGCCGTGCTGGCCTGTGCCCAAGCTGGCTTCCTGGCGAGCCATGTGGCTGTGGCTAATCCTGCCGTGGATGCTGTCGCCTCCACGCAGCACAATGTGGTGCGCTCCTTTGCCGGCACCGTCTCCAGCTACTCCAAGGCCGTGGATACGCCCTACTCCAGCGTGCGCAAGTCGGACACTCGCATCCAGAACAATGTCTACCAGCCGGCTATTGCCAAGACAACCTATTCGGCGCCACTGTACACTCAGGCCACGCCAATTGTGCAGAAGAGTGTGTATGCTGCTGCAGCTCCCGTCCTGGCCAAGACCGTCTCGTATGCTGCTCCAGCTCCCGTGCTGGCTAAGACCTTCTCGTATGCTGCTCCAGCTGTCAGCTATGGTGCTCCCGTCAAGACTGTCTACGCTGCGCCCGCTCCAGTTGTGACCAAGACCTTGTACGCCGCACCCGCTCCCGTCGTGGCCAAGACCATCTACTCTGCTGCTCCTGTGTATGCCAAGTCGTATGCCGCGCCCGCTGTTAGCTATGCTGCTCCACTGGCCACCACCCATGTGAACCATGGTCCATCTGCCACCACCTACAGCCACAATGCCCCAGCCCTGGGCGTCTCCAGCTACGGCAGCGCCCAGACGGTCCACTATTCGCCCGCGGAGAGCGTCTCGCACATGAGCTTCGATGGCTTCGGCACCCACTGGGGTTTCTAGGAGCACGATTCGCAAACTAGTAAAGCCGCTTGTTAATGTTGCACGTTGTTAATAAAAAAAAAAACCAAAAATTTTTGTTGCAAGTAAAACCTTGGCAAAGCTTCCGTTTCGAGGTTGGGCCTGAAAGCGGCGCGGGCTAAGCAAAATAAAGCCTAACAAGCAATAAACGCGCAATTGTCCAAAAATACTCAATGAATTATATCAGTAAAATTGGAGCTGGAGCCGGTTTCTGCGACGTCATCTTGGGCTTTGTGGGCGGCCTTCGCTGCTCGTTAAGCGGCTTTCTGATAACTTGTGGCGGGGGCGTGGCGGCTCTGCTCGACTCGGCTCGAGTCTGTTTGCGCATTATATTATGTGCCATTAATTGGATTTAATATTTTTGCACACCTCCAACTCTTTTGGCTGCCCTCCGGTTGCCCTGTTGATCTATGGAATTGAAATCGAAATCAAAATCAGCCTCATTGCCATTCAAATGTGGCCGGATATACACACAATTGCGACCCAGTTGGCTTTGCTTTTTGCACTTGTTATAATTAGTCTCGGTTAATTATCGGCTGTTTCGGCTGATATAACAGCAATAACAATATCTGAAGTACATTTATTTTACCTGTGCATGGCCCGATTTCAAACTTGACATTAAAGTCAACTACTCGCATTTTGCTAATGGGCTTAATAGAAAAAACAAACATCAATTTTGGCCTATTCAGTCCAATATAATAAGGGTTAATGCTCTGCACGCGATCTTGAAGTTGCCTAGAAACAAAAGACAAGGTTTACCCATATTTCTACCTTAATATACACTTGATTGATATACATTGATTGTTTGTTCATTTATTATTTCAAAAGCCTTCCTATTTATTACTAACAAAGTTCAAATTTATTTATATCAATATATTTTAAAGCTATGCATTTATATTTATATCGATATTCAGCTTTTAAAGCTATGCGTTTACATCTGCTTTTCCTACATTTCAAGCTCACATAAGTTAAATAAAATTGATTTTAATAAAATCGATTTTCATATTATTAAGCCTTTTGTTAATATTTGACCTTTAGATTTCGTAGCCTTATTGCCAATATTCATTTATAAAAAAGTTTATGGAAAATCCAAAGTCCCCACCAAAATCTCTTACTAGACTAGCAAGCACTCACCTCTTATCAGAGCAGAACCTATTTTCACGTGGAACTGCGATTTGGCCATGGTGTAAACTGTAGATTTTGTCTACATTTAAATTTGGGTAAGGAATTTTTGAATTCTTTATAATTCATGCTCACACTATTAAGTGAACCAATTATTAATCGTAATAGATAATAATAGACTTTAAGCATCGATAGGTTGGTCAAAACGGAACCAATTTTAAGGCGAAATAAGTTTTTGGTCATATTTCTTAACTTAAGATTGATTTTGCTTCAGGATTTGGGAATACTTTTCTATTCAAATTCTTTTGTTAGTATTTAAGTTAAAAATTCAAACAACCCAAGCCTTTGAACTGGAATCCCCAGACCTTTAACTGCCTTGCGCTTAAAACTAAAGCAGTTTTTAAAAGGGTTTTAATAAATCCCAATCTTTGACGTCTTAAATGATTTTGCATTGAAATAATGTTGATCTTTTTTTTAGATTGCTTTTTAGGATTGAATTTAAATTAATAAATTTTAATAACTAAATTACTCAATTAAATGAGTTATAAAAATAAATAATAATTTTCGTAAATCAAATCTTAGCTAAATGCGAATTTCGATATGTACTTGGCAAATTTCTCGATTCGGCAGCGAGGCTAATTTATGAAAGTGCTTAGTCATGCTCTCAGGTGTATAGATGACACTCATAAGTAGCTCGTAGTCTTGAAATTGAACATGCCTCTGTCCAATCATCTAATTGAAAACTGATTAAAAAGTGGTTGTGGAACACTTTATTTAAGACTTAGAGCTCAACCACTTGATGTGACTTTGATTTCAGGCAATTCCCTGGCTAATGCGGACATAAACAATCAAATTAAATGAAGATATGCATTAAAAATGTGGAAGGGGCAACACTCACACGCTTTTCTTTGGCAAATTAGCTGCGATTGTTGTAAGTGTGTGTGTGTGTGTGTGGGGTGGAGGCTTACAAGAGCTGAGGTTGCGCATACGCTATGTGGGCCAGAAATCGCACACTCTTGTGTCATATTGTTGTTGTTGTCTGTCTGCCTTGACAATTAGTCAATAATTTATTTCAATTTCATTTGGCATGCCAAGCACACACACACACACAGAAAGAGAACTGGCCTAAGTGCAGTTTAATTACATTTGCATTTGGCTTGTGCTTGTGCTTGTCGCTTTGGTTTTTGCACAAACTGCTTGCGCATGCAGCTGAGCACAAACAATTGCTGCAATCCAATTTACGTAAGCGAATTTTCATGATTTAAATAACATAACATTATGGTTTATTGTGCTTATCCGAGAGTGAGAGAAAGAGATTGAAAGGGAGCTGGAGTGAGAAAGTGAAAAACTGCAATACCCACACCAAGCTCAGCATTCTGCATGGCCAGCTGGCTGTTGTCTGGCGTCTGTACAGCTATGTCCTGGTATAATTAAATTATGAAAGGACATAAGACGCATAATAAGTCATAAATCAAATTTACCTATCCCACGGGTATCCACTGAAACGGGCAGCAGGCAGGCAAGGAGGCTGGCAGACAAGGAGGCCAGACAGCAAACCTTGGTGCCAGACAGACTAACAATATTGTGGCCTCAACGCAACTCTGTGGCCCTAATTTGATGGACATTATGACGACTCTGTCTCGGCAAACAATTAGACAATTGATGCATCTCTGTGTCTATTTGGCCAAAGCCATTTTCTATTTGTATCGGACATGGACACATCACAAACGTGAAAAGGGCCGACCCCAAATGGCCCCAACAGAACAGGACAGCTGTGACTGTGACTCTGACTGCAACTGCGAATGCATTTTATGTTGTTCACGTCATGGCCAGACGCTGTTTCAAGTGTGCAATTGAAAAATTTCTGCAACAGCAAATGTAAATTTTGTGTGCAGCAAGCGGCGTTGCCAGAGTGTTACAATATGCCAGTGTTGCTGTGCTGCTGTTTTTGCTGTTTCCCCCTGTTGCCCAACATTGGCCTGGCTCAATTCAGCCATTGACAATTACACGAAATTGCATTTACAGCGAGCTCTCAATTTTGACCCTAGATTTTCCAAAGCGCTCAAATTATATCCAAAGAAAATTATAGAAAAACTATCGGGTATACCCCGGCCTTGCCCGTGGTACGTATAAAATAAATTCTCTCACAGGTCTTTGAAACTGAGTTTAAGACCTATATAGGATATTTGAGGGTACCATTTTTACATCAATTTTGACCATGAAAAAATTTTCCAGATTTGAATGCCAAATTTATTTAAGACAAAAACCATGAATAAAGCACCAAACCACGTGAAAATCGGATGATATTCGACCAAGTTATGGAGGTGGGAAAGTTCGATCTATGTCTATATAGGATATTTGAGGGTACCATTTTCACATGAATTTCGACCAAAAAAAAAGTTGTCAGATTTTCATGCACAATTGATAAAGATGTCAACCCATGAACAAAAAGCCAATCCTAGTGAAAATCGGATGAGATTTGACTGAGCTATGGGGTGGGAAATTTCGTCCTATGTCTATATAAGATATTTGAGGATAACATTTTCACATGAATTTCGACCAAAAAATTAGTTGCCAGATTTTGATGCACAATTGATATAGATGCCAAACCATGAACAAAAAGCCAAGCCTCGTGAAAATCGGATGAGATTTGACTGAGCTATGGGGTTGGGAAATTCTGACCCATGTCTATATAGGATTTTGAGGGTACCATTTTCACATGAATTTCGACCAAAAAAAAAGTTGCCAGATTTTGATGCACAATTGATATAGGTGCCAAACCATGAACAAAAAGCCAAGCCTCGTGAAAATCGGATGATATTTGACCAAGTTATGGGGTTGGGAAATTCTGACCCATGTCTATATATTATATTTGAGGGTACAATTTTCACATGAATTTCGACCAAAAGAAAAGTTGCCAGATTTTGATGCACAATTGATCTAGATACCAAACCATGAACAAAAAGCCAAACCTCGTGAAAATCGGATGAGATTTGACCGAGTTATGGAGGTGGGAAATTCTGACCCATGTCTTTATAGGATATTTGAGGGTACCATTTTCACATGAATTTCGACCAAAAAATAAGTTGCCAGATTTTGATGCACAATTGATATAGAGGCCAAACCATGAACAAAAAGCCAAGCCTCGTGAAAATCGGATGATATTTGACCAAGTTAAGGGGTTGGGAAATTCTGACCCATGTCTGTATAGGATATTTGAGGGTACCATTTTCACATGAATTTCGACCAAAAAATAAGTTGCCAGATTTTGATGCACAATTGATATAGAGGCCAAACCATGAACAAAAAGCCAAGCCTCGTGAAAATCGGATGATATTTGACCAAGTTACGGGGTTGGGAAATTCTGACCCATGTCTATATAGGATATTTGAGGGTACAATTTTCACATGAATTTCGACCAAAAAAAAAGTTGCCAGATTTTGATGCACAATCGATCTAGATCCCAAACCATGAACAAAAAGTCAAACCTCGTGAAAATCGGATGAGATTTGACTGAGCAATGGGGTGGGAAATTTCGTCCTATATAAGATATTTGAGGGTACCATTTTTACATGAATTTTGCCCAAAACTAATTTTTCCAGATTTAGAAGCCAAGTTGTTTTAGAGGCCAAACCATGCATGTTCGTGCTCAAATGCCCATCAAGGATTTATTTATAGTCGAGAAATTATATTATAATTGCTTTACCCCAAAAATTGGTCAATTTGTTGGGCGAAATTGTTTGCTGGAACTCAGACAATTCCTAAGCTCTTGCAGTTTAAACAAATTTGAGCATGTTTAACGCAAATGCCAGACGAACTGAAGCAGAAGTAGAAAAGAAAAGAAATGAAAACCCAAGCAACTCAGACGACTCCCATCGCGATATGTCATAGCCGCAGACAAAGGGCAGCCCAAGGTGGTGTGTGGGCGTTGGGGGGGCGGGGCTGGGTTTAAGCAAATGCACGAATGCTAAAGATTCTCGTACTAACTGATACGGATCATTGCTTGGCCCGCGGGCTGCTGTTGCCTGTGTAGATTAAAATTTAATTTTTAATTTAAAGACTGTGTTTGAGTTTTATTTGCGCCTTGTTGTGGCATAAATAAATGAGCGAGCGGCCCCGTCTGTTGATTTATCATTATTCTATGCAAATTCAATGCTCACCTTAAGCTTTTCGCTGCGCATCTGTGGCAAGGTTGGCCATTTGGCCCGCTTTATCTGCCACTGCGACAGCCACTGCCACGTGCAATGTCAATGCCAAGCGATTAACATTCAATTAGCTTTTGGCTTCATCAATGATTTTATCGCAGCCATTAGAAGAGGGTTTGGGCTGGGGCTGTTCGCTGTGGCTGGTTTGAGTGTAAATTGTGGCAAATTATCATTAGCCTGTTGTTGTTGTTGTTCTGTGTGTGTGTGTGTGTGCCTTGACAACGACATCTTTACATCTTCAAAAGGTTTTTATGACATCAACAGCTGTCGTTGACAGATTATTGTGGCGATTATTTTAGCAGACAGCGTTTGGGCCACACACACACACACACACACTTACACACAAAGCAAAAGGACCGACAAGAACCAACAGGCAAGGACTTTGGGACAGACAGGCCCAGGGACAGGCTACGCTATCCTGGCTAAGGGGCTGGGCTCTGCTATTGACTTCAGCCCAGGGCCTCAGCCTGTTCAGAAGGAGTCGGCATTGCCTTCTCCTGCTTTGTGCGTTCAACTGGAAATTGTCAACAATGTTGTCATTGTTGTTGCTGCCACCGCTGCCGCTTCTGCCGCTGCTTCTGCTGCTGGTGTTGCACATGTGGCCCGGCCACTTGAAACATCTTGTGGGTTAGCACTTGTAAATAACTATGTTTCACTTGGAATACTTGTCATTTATGTTATACACTTTTATACAACATACACAAACTGTATTTGATATCCTGGTGATGTGCATGCGTTCGCAGCTCTGTCTCAAATCTCTGGCTGCTATTTGTCTGACCATCCTTTTGGTAAGCGCTGAAAAAGTCTTTTTCCCTCTAATGGCCGTCAGATTAATTTTCATATAGCAATTTTGCTGCATAGAACTCGCTTCGACTTTTGACAATGGAATAATAAATAGTCGAAAGAGGACTGTGCTGTTGATATCAAACCTGATTACGTCAATTTTTATGATCGCAGTCGCATGTTTGGGATTTTGTGTGGTGTTTAGTAATTTAATATATCTGCTGCTGGTGGTAAAGTTTAAAAACCATAATCAATAAACTAAGTTTTATATTAGCTTAAAAGCAAGCTTAATTGTGTCTATCAATTCAGTATATGTTATTGAAAGCTTTATCGATCTTTTATCGAGCTTAACGCATGCCTAATTTGACTTAAAGCTTTCTGAAGATTACGAGCTTAAAGCGAGCTAAATAGAGTTCATTAAATTCAATAAATTTATTTTAAAGCTTTCTTATGCTTAATTTAAAACATTAATTTGATATTCAACAAATGGTGCAAATTTAGCTTAAGCTTTCTCAAATTAAGAGCTTACAGCATCAAATTCATTAAAGCTTAAAGCTACCTCAAATTTACGAGGCTGAAAGCGAGCCTAATTGTATTAATTAAATGCAGTAAATTAAGCTTAAAGCTTTCCCATATTTAAAAATTGGTTTAATAAATAATTAACTACCTTCACAGCTGGCAATTGGCATTGGTTTATTCATCTTTACCAAATGCATTATTTGGATACTTTATGTGACTGTTGGAAACTCTAAGGAAACGTACCCGAACTTGCACATTTGGTTTGCATTACCGATCTTCTGGGCCGTAAGTGTAACAAAGAAAAGTTCAGATGTAAGTGCGACACAGTTTTGTTTTCCCTTTTTATAGGCGTTGAGTCTGAGTATAATCGTAAGGTTGTTCATAGTACGAAAGCGTAGCTAAGAGTTTTGTGTCACATTCAACATAGATATTTATTTAAGTCCACACCAATGTGCTTTCTGGGAATAGCTTTACTCAAGATCCATACAATCTTTATATCTATCATTATTCTGGTAAGCTTGTGGTCAATTTGTGGCCAATTCGGATGAATTACAAAAGTTACTATTTAACCCGCTTCTGGTTAGGTATGCAATACTATGGATCTCGTCAAGGCCATTGGAAACTTGGGCAGTTACCAAGGTTATGCAAAGAGCGCTTTTATCATATCCATGGTGCTGAACACTTTCCTAACTTTCGCAATTAGTTTCGGCACCTATGGAGTTATTCGCCATAAGAAATTGCCCCTGAGGCTGGTAAGTGGCAGCTAAATGTTGCATGCGAGTTTTTCAAAAATCTTATTGATTCCATCTAGTTTCTGTTCACATTGCTGGCCTTCTTCATCTGCAAGCTGATGCTTGCGGAAATAGTCGGTGGCATCAATGGGAAAATTTACGAACTCCTTGCAAGTCCCTGGTACCATCTGAACACGGCTCTTTCGGTAGATAGACTCGACAATAATCCCAAGCATAGCTCAATATTTTCATTTGTTTCCCCTTGATATTGCAGCTGCTTTGTTTAATTTTTTTGTCGGCACTTTATTTGCGATTAGTGGATGAAGTAGATTTGAGGTAAAGCGATTCTATTCCATTTACTTGTAATCGATTCTTTTTAGATTATCTACTATAAAATTAAATACAAATGAATAATTTTGGGTTTAACTTTAAAGGTCGCAAGCTATCTGCCTGTCAGATTTGGAGTCAACCAATGGCTGCAGACATTTGGCAAGCTTTACCGTATAAGGATAAAGTTACCTGAAGCTTTAATGTGCTTTCAAAAGCTCTCAAGTGCTTTCAAAACTGTTGCCTGACACACAGTAGTCCGTTTAAATTTGTTGTTTAACGTCAGAAATGTTGAAATTTTAATTAATATTGGTAATCGAAGTGTTTGAAAAATCGTAGAAATGTGTATGTGCCAATTCAAGGTAGTCAAGACTATAACCATAAGCCTAACCGTAGGCCTTGCAGTAAGTATTATTAAGGCAAAAAAATCAACAAACTCAGCATGATTTTACTCTGCCCAGATATGTAATAATCTCGACCTGACAACGGCCCTATTAACCTTATGCGAAGCCAAAGAAAATCTCAAGTTTGTGCTGTACTCATCGATTGTGCTTAACAGTTTAGTGAATTTTGCTATTGCCATCGGCATCAATGGATCTCTTCACAATAATGCATTAAAGGTAAAGCAGGTGAGTTTTAATTATTTAAAAGCATATAAATTTATAAACATATACATCCATTTCAGTTTCTAGCTGCAATCTTGATCTTCTTCTTCGCCAAAATTGTGCTGTCGAAATTAATTGATGACTTTAATAAAACAGATATCGACCTGATTGTTCAGATATGGTATCAGCTTACTGTGGTGACCTCCGTAAGTTGTTGTATAATACAGAAGATTTCTATTTATTGATATTCGTTAAATTCAGGGCTTGTGTTTTGTATTCGCAATGCCGCTTTGCCTAAAGCTGTTGGAGAAAGAGAATCCACCCGAAATTGCAGTGTAAAGTGTAATAAGTACTTTTGAAAACTGTTTCCAAATTGATTAATTTGTGTGCATTTTATTGTATTAAAACGTTCGTGAATACCAAGGTAAGAGTTATAGATAAGTTATACTATAGTCATATAGTTGGGCCTGATTGGCTTTTGGGCTTTGTTAACAGTTCGGTTCACGGTTCGAATACCTTGAACATTTTTTAGATATAAGATTATAAGATCTCAAATTTGAATTGTAGGCTCGCGTATAGTTAACACAGTTAAAGAATTAATTACTTTTTGTACACTTCCTCCTTTTCCATAAAATTGCAATCATTTTTTTTGGTTTTTGATTTGGATTATGATTTATTTGAAACAAATTTCAAAATTATAAAGGCGCGCCTGTTCTACTGAAAATATGGCCATCCATATATATTTTCATGAACAAAAGGCGCGCTACATTTGAACTCTATCCACAATTTGGCATTATGCAAAATATGGATAGATAAACGCAATGGTTGAAGCTAAAGTTGTTTATGCTTTGTAGCTAGATCTCCTATTTTCGAAAATAATATGATTCTGTTCAGGCTTCGATTCGGTTGTTTTTAAGCCACGGAAATTGTTTAAAAATTAATTCATAGTGGGCAATGTTTAAAAGCTGTTAAGTGTTATATTTCGTTTTATTTCTTAAGTGATTTAAGCCAAATTTACCTTCAGAATTGTCTTAATGGCTAAGACTTTCGATGTGGCGTTTCAGATAGGCGAAATGCATGCCAATCTGTGCGGCTTGTGTGAGTTATCAAATTACATGCGGCATTATGGACACAACACGCCCGCAGGATAACAACAGCAGCAGCAGAAACAGCAGCAGCAGCCGTGGCAGCCAATAAAGATGACGATGACAAGATAAACGAAAGTTTGTGGCAAGTGGCAAGCGGCAAGTGGCAAGCAAGGGGGCTAGCGGGCAAATTGTCGCTGGTTGTGTCTGCTTTAAATGAAATTTAACGATGCACAGAAATAATGGCACTTTGCATTTTAAAACACTTTAACGACTGTCGAGGCGGTCAAAAGTCAGCCAAAAGTCGGGATGCGACATTGACATTCAATTTGGACGCGGGAGCTGATGTCCTGCTGCTGCTGCTGCTGCTGCTCTGAACTCTGAACTCTGATGCTCATTATACGCATTTCCATTTGACACTTTTATTGGCCCAGCCTGATATTTCACACTCTCCAGCGGGGTGGGTATGCGTAAATGCTGGGCAACATTTATGCGGGTCATTTTATAGCCAGAAACGGATGCGGATGCGGATGCGGTTACGGATATATCAACCGATAAGGCCATTAAATTGATGCAGCACTTTTGCTGGCCATAAACTCAGCCAGCGCCCGGAGCACTCAGCCAATTACGCAAATAAAAGAAAATGTTACCAGCTCTCGCGTCTACTTATGTGGAAAACGTATCAAAGTGCTAAAAAAAAATGCAACCGCTTTTCGAGCAGTGTGCGGCGGCAACTGAGTGGCTCATTAGGCGTCACGCTGGCCCCAAGGTGTTGCCCGGTAAATTGTGTGGAATAACGTGTAACTCACACCACTCGCCGTACACTTTAAAAAATTTAAGCTAGCCATGCATATAAATAGATAAATGACCGAAATATCTGTCTGATTCCACTTTCACAAACGCTTAATTAAAGCCGTGCGCCGTGGGCGATTTTCGTCATTGTCCTCAGCGTGGAAATTCCAATTGTCGCCCAGCTGGCAGCAGCTGGCCCCCCCCCCCCCCCCCAAAAACAGCATGTTGTCGCTGTCCTTGCCAGCGTCCAGGCGCATATCCTGCGGCTGATTAAAATCTATTAGAGTCAAAGAGACGTAAGACACCGAACTGTCGGTGGTTGGGCGGCTGGGTGGCTCATTTCTTGCCTGACTTGGGCATGTAAATGTCGACGCAATTGAAATGCATGCGGCGGAAACTTCCAACTAGCTATAACTTAAGTATACAATGAGCCTGACTCGTTTCTTATTAGGTTTGACAAACGTAAAGCGAAGAAATGGGTTTTCCTATTTTCAATTGTTTTTATTTTCGTATCGAAGTTTTCTTCAAATGGACAAGGTGTCAACCAGTCTTTGAATCAGTATTTATGAGGTACCAAGGTTTGAACCAGCATCTGGAAAAGGTTCATCAGGTTCATGAATGTACCCTGGTTTGAACTGCAAACTGAACCGGGAGTTGGTTCGAACTACAAATTGAACCAGCGAATATTATTTTGTGGATATATAGCCTGGCAATCAAATGCTGCATCGTTCTCTTCCTCTTCTACATGCTGCATGAATGTAGCCCGTTAATTCTTAGGCGTTGCCACCTAGGCAGAATTGCATATGCTCGGGACGTTTCTTAAAATTTCCCCAAGGTATTTCTTTTTATCATAATTATTATTAATTTTATTTTTATTATCATAAATACTTATATAATTTTTATACAATAGATCTTTCCTAAATTTAGTGATATGAATTTCAATATCTAAAGTTCAGTTCCTGGTCACATGTGCCCCATGTTAGGGTATTCGAGTTCTGTTTGTTGTTGTTGCCATTGCGGCACTGCCAAAAGTCGCACACAAAAACTTTCAGCGCAAAGTTTTTAACGGAAATTGTGCAGCTGTTTTGTGTGCCGACGACAAGGATGTGGCAGGAGCAGGGGGCGTGGCATTGCCAGCACTTGTTGGCTGCCCCCAAACATACACATAGTCCATAGATATTTAGATGTAGACAGCAAGTGTCTTACAAATTTCTTGAAATTTTAATTCAATGGCAAGGCTGAGAGCAGAGCTCGTTACATTTACATACGTAAGTATGTCTTTTACCTATAATGTATATATGTATATCTATATGTATCTATAAGTATCTATCGTTATCAAGCGTATGCCAACATGTGCCGCCTCTCAATATGAATTTTCATGATTAAAGCGCGTGTCGCCCGGCATTTTATCGCCCAAAGACAGCGCCATTCCGGCAATGTGTAACGTCGCCGGTTCAGTTAAGTTCGACTCGGCTCGACTCCGTTCAGTTCGGTTCGGTTCGATGAGTATATTCTTATAAATTATCGTGTATGGTAACAAATGTGTCCACACAGCCATTCACACGCATGCATAATAAAGTGATTTTAAAGGGCACTTTTCTCCGGCTGCGTAAAATTTCCATTTGCGTGGGGCACTCAACTTTATTGGAATCGAAAGTTGGCCCAGTGTGTGTCTGTCTCTCTCTGATAATGTGACACGAGCACATGTGCTCTAATGTATCTTGGCTTTAACAATTCATTAAAATTTCATATAAATGCCGCTGCAATGGCCGCATCAAGAACGGGCAAGAAAGCGCATTAGCGAGCGCAGCAAAGTAATCCACTTTGTTATTAACTGCTATTTACAAATGTGCAGCCAGTGTCAAGTAAATAATACAATAACAAAATATATTAAATGCAGCGCAAAAGCGTCAAGTCATAAACTGCTCATCAGTCTTGGGGCTACAGTTGATGGGGTTGGGTGCAGCTGACAACCCTGGCCCCACCCTGCCCACCCTGGACCACCCTTAGCTGTAATTATGCGCATCGCTGTTGCAAAAACTTTACTATCATTCGCATCCTCATTCTCATCCTCGTCCTCGTCCACATTCTCGTTCTCATTCGCGTTGTCATTGTCTCGACGCGCAGGAAGTGCCAAAGCGCCGCGAGCCAAAGCAGCCGGCGTTGTCCTGGCCTCGTCCTGGCATCGTCCTGGCTGGGTTGGGTGTTGGATGTTTCTGGTTGCTTGTCGCCTTTTGACGCTGATAATGCAATTTCCGCGCTGCCCGTAATTTACTGTTATGCAATGTTTCATTTTATTTCTCACCCCTCGCCGGCTGTGGCAATTTTTTAAAGCGCCTTTGAGACAATCAACGGCTAGTTGTTGCTATTTATCTACATAAAGTTAATTGAAAACATTCAAATGGATCTCGTCCTGGTGCCTGGTCTCTGCTGCTGCGTGATGTGTCAACATCTTTCGCATGCCGCATAATCCGGAATATGCTGCTGGACGGGCTGCCAGTCCACTTTTATGTCCTTCTCATTCGTAGTCTTTATTACAAATTGGTTTTCTGCACTCGCTCGCATGTTTCGTGCGCAATTTGCAGCCCTCTGCCGAATGAAAGAAAAAAATGTAACCACTCAACAAATGTACGAAACGAGCAACGCCAAAAAAAAAAAAAATCTATGGTAAATTGCAGCCGGGCAACTCACGTGGTAAATCCAGGAACAAAAAAAAAAAAAGGAGAAGTTCCATGCATTGTCGAGAAACGTGTTCACTTTGCACGTTAACGAACTGAAATCGAAAGTTTTGGTTGCGGTCAACGTTGCCCTATCTCTCCGTCCGTCCGTCCGTCCGTCCGTCCGTCCGTCCGTCCGTGCTGTGTGCCTCCCACAGTTGTGGACTGTCAGATTGAATGGTTTATGTGTGACACCTTTGACCGGTCGGGTCGAGTTGCCGGCAGTATAAATTAAGCGCCCGACTGCAAGCTGAACAGCTTTAAGCTATATGCGAAAGATTCCCTTGGCCCAGCTGGCCTGGGATTTAATGATTCGTTTAATCTCCATATGGAGCATACTTGAATAGAGATTTTTAAGAATATTAAAGATAACAGCATCAAGTTAACTTTAAGAGAAAGAGGCTCCAGATTCTTTTTTCGATTTCTTTTTTAACTAATTAACGTTTTATCAATATCAATATCGGCTATAACAGGACAGGTAGGATTTTACTTTGTTCTTTTACAAGTTCTTTTTTTCTCATTTTTAGTTTCGCCAACTTCTTCTTCATCATATATTCAAGACAATAACTGATAAGCCAAGAAAAGCTATGTAATTCCTAAAATTATCAAACCTCTCCAACTCTTAATAAATATAATTTATTGAAAGTATATTTCCCTAGAACAAAATCTATAACATAGTTAACTTTGTGCCCAGCTTCAAAGTTTTCTATAATAATATTACGAATTATTGTTATCAGTTTCCCTCATTGATTACAAATTTAACAACAAATATATATTTTAGTAAACTTTAGAAATATGCTCAAACTTCGCAGAATTAATCATGTTATATATTAT